AAAAAAAAAAAAAAACTACTACTAATTGATTTTTTCTTTTTACCTTTAATTTCTATTTTTTTTTAAGTTAATTTTTTTTCCTTTCTTTTTTTAAGACGAGTTGATTTCGCATAACATTTGAGATAAATAAACGGTTTTTTATGGGAGGAATTTGATTGCACTTTCAAACTTTACATGATTTATATGAGAAAACGAATCTTACAAAACAAAAAAAAAAATTAAGAAAGAAAAAAGAAAAAAAAAGAATGAAATCGTTGGACTTACGAAAAGCATTAAGTCTGTGATCTGACACAAAAATGACTAAAAAAAATTAAGAAAATAATACATGACACTTCAATAGGTAACCTTGTAGTGTGTAGATAATAAGTAAACTGGATAAAAGAGATTCAGCCAGATTGTATAAATCTACCATCCCATAGATCTCTAAGATCCTTCTCGTGCATGCATATATATATATATAAATATATATATATATATATATATATATAGATATATATATATCATGCCATTTTTTTTATTTGATTGCTTCGCGGATTAAACAAAAATTCCATATTCAGTTAAGCTAGCATGACAAATACAGAAAGTACATAAGGTATGATTATATTTGCAGATATTTTCTGTAATTGATGAGTTATCTGCGCCAGCGCCGATAGATATTGAATTGATCCAAGATAAAGGAATACAAATGTCACTACAATGTGCTTTCTTATATAAAAGTGAATCGCACAATCACTGTCGACGAAAAATTGGAATTATTGGAGAAAATAAAGTTCGTTAAGAGACCCGCTTCTTCTTCACTTATGACAAATCCTATTTTAACGAACATATTCATATCAACATCTACCTATAGAGTCACTTGTACTGGGCAAGGTATATAGAAAGTAATTACAGGCAGCCAATAGGCTGCAAGATCTACCGTCAAATTACGGAACTCCGTGTCGAATAAACTCGATCGTAATTTCTTCATTTCGTGTCGGTGTATTGAGTAGCGTGCTTGCCGACAGTCGACAAAGTATGCACTTTTGCCATTATTGAGCGGAAAATTTCTCGAGAACAATAACGCTGTCGAGTACCGCATTCAAAGGGAAAATGCGTTGGCAAAATGCGTTGGCAAAACCATATGATTATTTGCGATGAGATGATTGATATACTAAGGAATATCTATAGTAAATTGTGCCAAGAAGTGCTCAGTCGTGGTAGCTTAATCTACATATATATTGGAAATCATTTATTTGAATTATTGTTAAGCTTATTTATTTGCTTTTTTCTTCTTCTCTTTGTCGTTTATTTGAATTTATATTGTTATTGATATACTACTAATGCTATTATTAATGCCCCGTTGTCTATATCTCCAATGAATGAGAGGAATTGAGTACATACCCGATGATATCGAGTCCCGTAAACTAGGCCCTGATTGAGGCCTACTTCTACACTTCTTCTATTACGGTGGTCCTATGGAGCGACCGGAACGGTATTTGTTCCATCAATTGATAACCAGAAGCGGCCCTTCGCCCTTCAAAAAATTTCATAGTGGCACAAGTCATGCCCAAATTACAAGTATGGCGGCTAGAGGGATATATCCGTAATCAAATAAAATGTCATCGACTTTGCCTGCAACTTCGACCTCAGGCAAACACTCAATTGAAACCCATAGATGCGTTCGTTATTTTTCGCCGTTTAGTGATAAACGTGTCATTGTTTCCCAATCTTCAGTCTGTTCATGTTTTTCAATGATTACGAGTATCGTTTGTCCGACGACCCTAACGTTTATTTTAAATTTGGTGAAATGTCTTAAATTTCCAACGGTTGACTAATAACGCCAATGAAACTTTGCGACGGTGTCTTACAAAAATCGAAACAAGATTAATAATTATTATAATCCTCCCGCAACTTTTCAGGGATTTTTTTGTTATAAAGTTTTAAGCTTGTTTGTAAAAAAACGCAATGCCAATTCTGCCGGTTTAAGAAGGTCTTCGTGTTGCACATAACTTCCACGCAGCTACCCTCCAATAAGGCAGCGACTGTTGCATCTCAAGTCTTAAAAACGAAAAAAAAGAGAGTGATTTCCATTAAAAAAAACAGCCAAATGTCGCATTATTTCTACTAAAAACATTCCTTTACTTTTTGCATGGTATTGGGTGGACCCTTTGCGGTTTCATGTAAAAAAATTTCCAATATATATATGATTTTTTGGATTGAACGATATATTCACCGGGAAGATTTACTCTTTTGTTTACAACAATTTCAAGCAAAAATTAATTGTAAAAATATTTAAAAGTTGTACCCGCTCGATTAACCCACTATTTCTTGCTTAGTAAGAGAAGACCTTGAGCCGAAAGGGAACTTCATACTGCAAGGTAGACTAAAAATATTGCTGCTCTTAATCTCTTTTCGACCACAATTCCCGATGATGAGAAAGACATGAGATATTTCTTTTATTTTTTTTTTTTTTAAGAAAATTATGTAAAATTGGTTTTGCTTTTGATTTCATTTAAAGATCACATTATATGCAAAAGCTTCTTAGACATAAAATGATTTACGATACCATTCATTATCGGGTATTGAGAGCATGTTTTTCAAAAATAGTAAAGCTTTCCCGGCGATGATTTTTAAAATTAATTAAAATCACTTCTTATAAACAACTCGGTTACCTTATTATATATAAAGAAGAAAAACTTTTTGTACTGAGATAGAGAAAACTTAATCAAAGTAAAAATTCTAATTAACATTGCCAGGCTAGATATGAAAAGTTACTGAAGATTTGATGTCTAAATTGAGTGCAATTGGTCCACAGTTTCTTTATTGTTATTATTATTTTTATTATTATTATTATTATTATTATTATTGATTTATTTATTATTATTATTTTCTTATTGCTTTTTTAACTTTATGGCGATAAAGTTTGCTTTCTTATTCTCGATTATTCTCGACTTAAAAAAACTTCGAAAAAATAAAGTAAAAAATTTAACATAATAAAAAAAGTAAATAAAAGAAATTTTAAAAAAAGGAAAAAAAATCTAACTTACTCTTCTATAAAATAGACAATAAAATTCTCATGTTATACGCTCAAAACTAGGCGTCTTCTTATTACATTGTTAAAAACGAGAAAAATATTTCAAAACTTGTTTTATACCGGCCTCTGGAGGATAGAATATTGGCTTCATAATTCCAAGAATGCTTATCGCAGAAAGTGTATATACTTAGGATTCATCTCTGCCTTGATCTGCCTTTGTCTGCTGGAATCACAAAAACGATATAGGAAATATATATGTGAGTAGAAAAGTTTTCTAAGTGCTTGAGATCAGCAAGATTCGCGAAACCTAGATGCTAGTAAACTTCTGTTAAACTATAATTAAAAAAAAAAAAAAAAAAAAAAAAAAAAAATACAAAAAATTTTTATAATTGGTAAATTTTATAAAGCTCAGTAAGTAGGTCAACAAAAAAAAAAAAAAAAAAAATTTGGCAAAGTACCAACAAATTTGTTGTTTAGCAACAGTACAAAAAGTTCTTCAATAAAAGAAAATATAAATAAAATTTAATATCAAATTATTAGAAAAAAAAAAACACTCAACTAATCATGCATTCATCGGGCAACAACACTTAACATAAATTCTGAAAATATATTTTCATTAATATCTATTAATGAGATAAATTCTGAAAATATATATTCATTAATAGATACCAGACATACATACTTGCACAACGGAAGAAAATAAACATACTTTTGCGTGTCAGTAAAGAAAAAAAAATGCAATAATTGTAATAATAATAATAATAATATATTACAAAATATTATCTATATATATATATATATATATATAGTTGTAGATATATTGATATATAGATATATCGATTAGTCATAGGATCTTTCTTTAATAACACAAACACATTTGAAGATATATTGATTTGTTCTTTCTGTTGGATCTTTCTTTAATAACACAAACGCATTTGAAGATAAATTGATTTGTTCACGATCACAGTTCTTTTAAATGTCATGAGTATTTTAACGACTCCTTCCGTTCTTAGAATTGTTCCCTTTTAAAAAATATGTCCTAATATTGACAAAGAGACAACAAGACCTAGATATTATTATAAAAAAAATTAAAAAAATCAATAACATGACAACAATTTGGGCATAACCCTCAAAATCGATTGCGAGCCAAACCTGCTGCCGAAAGAATGTTCTGTCTCTGGTGAGAGCGAGATACTATTCCTCTACCTCTACCTTTCTGTGTGCAAGGCACTCGGTTGCGATACAACTGCACACTACACTTGGCTGCGGAAGAGCTTTGGCTCTTCCCGCAATCGTGGGCTAACCGTAGCCACCACGAAACTCCCGCTATGGACCGTTCCCGCTGTCAGGCCGAAGCTAGACGAAGTGCTTTGAGGGGGCTCCTCACATCCATGGTACCAGAATTTGATTGAAAAATGTTGAAGAAATTATTAAAAGTCCTCGATCGGACTTTCTAGATCCCAAAAGACCCGAACTCGGCATGAGATAACTATTAGAAGAAAACCCATACATACTATGCTTAGAGCCAAATTTGGAATATCGGTTTAACTTCGTCAGCTGTGAAGAGTGTAATTGACGTCACTGAACTTCTCTTTATGGAGTTATTTGAAGCTAGAAGACTATGCCAACAAGCCCACACCCACCCGTGCGTCGTCAACGGAATTCAGTCACATTTCTGCCAAACGACAAAGGAAAACTTCGATAAAAGAATGCATATGGTCTAGCAGGTGTGAAGGCCATTTGCCCGATGTACCATTCCATGCATAGCCCTTTGCACGTTACGCAGGTTACGATTCAATAAAAGAAATTACAATTCAACCCAGAAATAAACCCTTTTTCTATTTAATTCGAATCTTTCATAAATTTTAGGGCATCTGTTATAGAAGGTTGACTTTCCATAAGGAAACTTTTATTAGAGAGAGTTCGAAAAACTCACTATCCTAGATCAATTTCCGCCTACTTTTTGCTAGAACGTATATAAATTGAAAAGGTGGTTTCGTTTAGTGTATTGAAATAGTTTTTTTTATCGATTTTTTTCGGGGGCTTTTAAAAATTACTTTCATTCAAACAGGGTTTTGTATGGGGGAGGGTGAGTGTGTCGGTCATGAAATTGGCCCGATCTGTCTTTCATGCTGAACGCGAGAAAGTTACGATCGATGGATAGGTGAACAAAATTACCATAGTCATGATAAACTCAAGTGATTCTGGATCGATTGATATAATAAAAGTGTGCAGTATCTCCAAGCAAGCGTTTAAGCAAATTATTATTAATTTAGCCAGAGAGAGAATAAATTTTAAGACTAAAATCTTAAAGCACTAGCAGCTAAGACTATTGAAAACGCGATCGCATGTGAGATTTGAGCCCACGACCAATGCATTAGTTAGCTTTAAGACGATTCTAATTCTTAGAATTCGTTTTCGAACCTATAAATTTTCGAATTGATTGTCTGCGCAAAAGAGAATAAAAAATTATTATGTAATAAGATATTTCGAATCACACAAATATCAAATAGAATCGAATCAAATATTGATGTGATCTTAATGTTAACGTTTAGTGAACAGTTAAGAATTGATTTAAGCCACGTTTCGCCTCTCCATCTCAGCTTTTTTTTCAACAAGAACAAGAATTTCAATTGCAGTTAACCGAGAGCATACGGCAAAAGGAAGTATCCATGAAATCAACTTAAATAATAGAATAATCTTTAGGCGAATCAAGGGTGGGTATACTTTGTGGACTCCTTGCAGCTTATAGGAAGCATTGGTCGAGGGGGAAATATGTAGTCTTCATTTTTTTTTTTACATTTAATTTTAGTTGTTTTCGTTTATATTTAATTTTAGAAACCGTGTTCGACATGATATAAAAAATTAACAAGTTTAGGAGTAAAGATTCTCTTTCAGAACTCAACAAAAGAAATAGTGTTAGTTAAAACGTTTTTCAGTAAAAAGCTATGAAGTATGCAGCATGTTAAAGCGGCCATTATTAAGGAAATTAAGCGTTTTTTCTTTTTTTAATATTTAATTACAAAATCCTTACTTCCCATCGATACATCTATATACACCTAAATATATATGTATATATCTATATATTAGTGAAGACAAAAAAAAATATATATATAGGTATATATATATATATATATATATATATATATATATAATTAGTATATAAATAAAAAAAAATTAGATTTTGAAAGGCAATAAGAAATTTTTTAATTAAATATAGGTAGGTATATGTAATATTTAGAACATACGTCCAAAAATGCACCTAATTATATACTTAGAAAAACTTAAAAAGACAATAATAGTAATAATAAAAATAATTAAAATAATAATGAAATTTATTGTTTAAATTAAAAATTAAACATATCGACTAACCTTGAAGTCTCAAATCCGTTTGATCCTTACTCTGATGGACTTTGTAGCTAGTCTGTATAAATATTTTTGTTTATTTTGTTTTATGCGAGGAGTAGTTTTTTTTCTTTTTTCCTTTTTTTTTTTTTTCCTTTTAAATTATGCTTTTTATACTCTTTGTCAAATGTAAACTCAAACTTGAAGTTTAGTTGCCAACGGAAAAAAATAAAACCGCTTCCCGTTACGTTGAAAACTGATTTCGTTCTAAACATATACACATACACACACTTGTTTTGTTTTTTTTTTTTTCTGTTTTTTTTTTTAATATATATAAGAATACTTGCTAATGTTGGCATTTGTTAGGAGCATATTTCAGCTAAATAATAAGAATAATAAATTTGCTTCATTTAATGTTGTTTACTTGGATTTACTTTTTGAATTGTTATCCGATTCTAAACCTCTATTAATTCATATCAACCATCCACCAAAACCGGTGATGGAGGTATATCCTCCAATCAGTTATACATGAAATTTGCAGCATCACATAAAACATCACTATCCTCGTCAAATTTACCATTCATAGTGTATGCTGAATCGGTACCGTATGACCATTCCTTCTTAATGTAATCTCCATCGGTTGTTATCGATGAAGTACTATTATTTAAACCTGTCAATGAGCTATGATCTAATTTGAAATCATCATCATCGGCGTACAATTGTGAGGGTATACCGTCCGGTATAGAGTGATGATCCAAAAGATAACCATACGTTGGTAATGAATGACTTAAATCGACGTGATGCTCTAAATCGTGTTCAAAATTAGACATACGATACCGTGAACTGGGCGGTGATTGTGGTGAGTTGGGTGTTGGTGAATCATCGAATATGGCTTCTTCTTTGATAAGCATTTCATTTGAATTATCACCGGATGAATATAAATTCGGTTCAACTTTGATGGCCGTCAGTGCCAAGGACGGGGAGGTTTTTTCATCGACTACGACATCATCGTCATCATCGAAGTTGCGCCCTTTATGGGAACGATGTAAATTTACTCTATGCTCGTTTATGTGGTCATCGTCATCATCATCGTCATCTAAATCGGCTAGATGGCGACGTCGGTGGTGGTTTCGGTGGTTATTTCGTTGATACGAACGTTGGTGGTTCTGGGTTTGGTTCTGGTTATTACTGTTATTGCTGTTATTAAGGTTTATGGGCTGTTGTTGTTGTTGTTGTTGTTGTTGCGAGTTGTGAGTACTACGTATAATTGTTGAGGATCCAAATGCTGCGGCTGAAGCCAATGATAGGGGTACAGAGCCCAATTTATTAACTAAAACGGTTGAGGAACTCGAGGCCACCGCAATTTTTGGTGAAGGTGGAGTGCCTAATAATAATAATAATAACAATAATAATAATGATAATAATAATAAAAAAACAGATTGAAATAAATTAATATCGAAAAAAATGGTGGAAGAAAGTTTAGTGTCTTAAGTTGTGCGTCCAATAACGTGAACAACAGCAACTTGGGCCTCATGTTTACGATATTTTTCTCGAATCTATCATAGTGCGAAGGGTCAACTTCGATACAACTTGCTTACTCACCAATATGCTGCACTACCGAAGATGATAAAGTGGTGCAGGACGACACACCATTGGTCGAATGTATTATCGGAGTCTTACGCATCAGTTGCTGCTGCAATGCACTGTTACTGCTATTGCTACTATTTTGACGTATAACTTGAGCATGATTTTGCTGATGTTGTTGTTGTTGCTGGTGACCATCTTGATCTGTTTGCATGTAATTATTGATAACTATAGTACGCGTCGGTGTGCCCAACATTAAATGTGGTTGCTCTTGTTGCAGCTTCTGTTGCTCATTCGATGAGTTACTTGACGATTCCGAAAGGGAATCATCAACAACATTTCTTCCGACATTCGGTGTCGTTAGAAATTGCTGAGCCAAACTATGACCATCACTCATGGTGGAATTGTCATCATCATCGTCATCATCCCGATTATTATTGTCGCGTCCGTCCTCAATATTACCGCCACCATGGCCATCATGCTTTATATCAAGCTCCATTAATGATTGTGGATTTTGTAAAACAGTGCGTCCACTGTGACTGCGTAGCTTCGAAGTTGAGTGATGTTCAACTTTGTGCACGGTGGATGATGTTGGCGAATTTTGGGCACTCGTACCGCCGGAACTTGTACTTGTATCTGTACTATTATTAGCATTTGAAGTCTGATAGCGTATAGTTGTAGCTGTGGTTGATGACGATGACACCGACTGCTGTGTGGGATTATCACGCTGATGCACTTGCATATGATTTTGCAGTGATGACTGAGTGTGTAGTTTCTTTTTGCAAATCTTACATTCAAATGGAAAATCACCGGTATGAGTGCGAGCATGAATTTTTAGATTGTAACGTTGACCAAAACCTTTACCGCACACGTCGCATCTGTAAGTAATAAATGGAAAAAAGTTGAGTTGCTATACGTATTTTTAATTAACTAAATTAAATATTTACTTATGCAATTTGACGCCTGAATGCAGCTTAGAGTGGCCTCTCAATGATGCAAGAGCACTGAACACTTTACCACATATTTCGCAGGTCAGATTGACATTTTCATTGTGTATCTTTTTATGTACTTTGAAATATTCAAAGCTCATGAATTCCTTGTGACATACTTCACATTTATACTTGTGCCGTTCCGACTGCTGACCAGTATGGACGCGCATGTGCTTAATAAAATTGGGACGAAAGCGTACTACACGTCCGCATATTTGACATTCGTATGGTTTACAACGTAGACAATGCTTTTCATAGTTTTTCAACGATTTCAAAACCATATTACAAATGGCGCATTTCATATTGTTAGCGTGCCCGGAACGATGTATATCAAATAAATCCTTGGAATCGAATTTCTCCACACAATCTACGCATTGATAAACAGTAGCTCCCGCAGCATTTCCTGACGAGATTGGCTGTGAAGACGTTGTTGCTGTGTTTACTGATGCACTTGAAGTAGAGGAAGAAGTCGTCGACGACGTCACTGACGAAATATTACTGTAAGATGCTGCCGATGTAGAAGTATTATTACTATGCAAAGCATTGAGATTAGCTAAGGCAGCTGCCGACGTCGAAGCTATCGGATGAGTGTCAAGGTGTTGTCCATTCGTCATTAAGTTATTAGTACTATTGTTTGGTGGTATGTGTTGTGATATGGCAGCGCTCATCGAAGGATTCGCATTACTTTGTGCTGCTACCGCCAGTGTTGTGGCGGTGTTTGCTACAATTCTATTAAAACTTGGTGAACCATTTATGATGTTTTTGGTATTCGTCGGAGTACTTGTCACCATCATTGGCGATGCATTAGAAGTCGGAGAGGAGCTTGGTGATATGCCAGTAGCCGTCAGTTTATTTGTCTGCGAGGAAGCGGCCACCATCATAGGTGCAGTCGCAACGGTGGAGGTACCATTTGCTGCCACAGGAGTAGCTTGTAATATAAGTTGCGTAGTTGTCCCAGCAACGCCACTTCCCCCTTGTTGGACAACATTAAGCACCGCCATAGAGCCATTGCGGCTTATTACCGCCGGCATACGCACCAAAGTACCCTGCATATTACCTATTGCATTACTTATATAAACAGGTCGCCTTTGCAACTGAGCCAAAGCCTCAGATACGGGCACAGTTATGGAGCGTGTACTTGTTGTACCACCAGTGCTCACTATTGAGCCAGCTGGAAATACCAGTTGAGCAGTAGCTGTTTGGTTATTAATGGCCCTTCCTTTAATGTAATCCATAGCGTTGCCCTCCGCTAGCACCTCATCAACCATTTCTGAATCCTCTAACTTTATTTGAGCGCTATGTAATTGAACGGGCTCTTCATCCGCTTCAGCTGCCTTAGCTTCTTCTTCGATATCTTGTAGATTTTCATCGTTCAGTTCCGGGTCCTCCACCTCTGCTTGATGAATTAATTGTTGCGCTGCACTTATATTCATAGCTGTCAGTTCATTCATATCTGAAGATCGCACAATTATACGACGACCATTTAGCAGATGATGATTATGATGTTGGTGTTGTTGTTGTTGGCTTTGTGGAGAATCGATGTGTGTAAATTCAGCTTCTAGCCCGGTTTGACTTAATTCGGAAGCGCTCGTTATAGGAGTAGTTGAAGTCGGTGGGGTTTCAAGTTTTATTGCTGTCGTCGGTGACATACTGGTTGCTTGAGAATTACTATCATAATCAACACTCACCGTTTCTTTTGCTATTCGTACTTCGTTATGCTGTCGTAGATTCTGTTGCATTAACTCTTGCGTTTCATCCTCTTGCTCCATAGTAGCATCTTGCAATATAAACTCAATTTGCTGCGACAACGCACTATCGTTCAAAGCAATTAGTCCATCTAAATCTTTACCTGCCATTGTGCTAACTGGGCTATTACACAGACCAAACAGGGAGGGAAGACTGCGGGATGATAATTCACCAACTCTATCAGCTCCAACACTGTCTGTAACATTGTTAGTGTCCATGTTCATAAAGAAACTCTTAATTTCTTACACGCAGAATTTAAAATCAGTCACTTTTATATTTTTTTATTTATATTTACTTTATTACTTATTATTATTACGCTTATTATTCTATGCGAATTATCACTTGAGATATTTTTCGAAATTTTCTCCAATTTTTGGTGGTTTTCTTTTTGAATCTATTTTTATTGGTTATCCACATTTTTCAACTAATAAATTTTCACATTTCTAGAGTTTCACATCATTTCATTAACAGTTTGCAAATTTGTTCTGTTTTCCTTAAATACAACTTCTCTCCTTTTGCAAACTTTAAAAATGTTGCAGTTTGGTTTAATTACAAAAATTGAGAGAAATTAAATAAAAATATTTATACTACGCAGATATTTTTCAATTAATGAAAAATAAAGGAAAAGAATTACACGGTTTTCATTTTAAACCCTCTTCGTTTTTTCTCGTAATTTTCTTTCGGCCGCACACTTTTTATTACATATTCATTGAATTTTCATGGAAAACGTCAATAAAGGAAGAAATTTTCTTTGAATATGGAATTTTTTCTGTTTTCTTTTGTCTCCGCGGATGTTTGTTTGTGTATGTGAATGTTCGCGCTGGCTTATAAACAACAAATTGGCATAGCACCAAAACAGGGTTGCATTACTTTTGTACTAAATGCAGAATTTTACAATTAAACAAATTTACAATAATTCAAATAATATATGCGCATAAATGCTAAACAATTATTTACCTTAAGCAAATTTTAATAATATGTATATCGCATTGATATTAAAATTTTTTATAAGGTATATCCGATAGATACTATTCGTTTAGGTTATGATTACTTTTTTCATATTTCACCATGTCTTTGCTTTTATTTGTTTTACAGGTAATTCTGTTTTGTAGTGTTTTTGTTTGCTTTTCATATTCTTCATCTCTCTTTTCCCTCGCTTTTATTTATCAGGCAACTCATATTTCTCTATTCTCTTTTCAATTGCGATTTGTGTGTTTTGATTTTTTTATATTGTATTATGCATATGTGTTATGATATTACCGAGTAGTTATAGCTTTTTGTGCGGTTATATTTTTTTTCTTTTGTTTTGCTTGGTAGTGTTGCCGTATTCTCAATATATTTCGGATTTAATTAAAATATTCAAATAGTGCAATAGCAGAATTTCCTTCGATATGGACAAATTTACATCTTAAGTTATTCTATTTGCAATTGTGCATTTAAAAAGTTAAAAACATTAATCTTAGATGATGTATAAAGCTGTTGCGAAATATTGAGTTTAGATTGCAGTATGTGCATCACTGTAAACAGGTTCAATTTCAATGAGTGTGTACGCCGCAAATGAAGTACGTGAAATTCAATTTATATTGTTAGCGGATCGTCAAGGAGAGGGAACGGACGAAGAGAATGACGGCAGGCAAACAAATCAAGCAAAAAATTTACAATTTTTAAAGTAAAATATGAAAACGAATTAGAGCTTAGACTAACATGAAAAACGCTCCGAGGTCTCGCAAATTAATCCATTAGTATTATTTATATTTATAATTTGTTATTTGTAGAGTTATTACACTTCTCTTAACTGCAACTTCATTGTTCAACATTTATTGATTTCCTTACAAAAAGTTTTCCACTTAAGTTGAAATTTTATTTTTCATTAATTTTTCTTTTAATATTTATAGTAACGGGCAACACATCACATTTTAAAACTTTCTGCGTTTAATTGTTTATAGCGTGCACTTTGAAAATTTTCATTACATACAATTTCTTTTTTATAAAGAATATACAAAAGATAAGTTTTAATTCTTTTTCCGAAGGGATTTACTTTTGCATTACTTCTTTTTCCTCTTTTTCATTTGCTTTACGATTTTTCATTTGGGAAAATAGCGTTGCCAGATTCCTAAAGAAATCGTAACATTTTCACATAAGAATGAGTAAACCGAAGAGAAATGATGCCCAAAAATTTATAATCAGTCCGTTTAATTAGAATCAGGTGCTGTAACGCCGGGGCGTAATCAGTAAATAAAGTTTCTTATAATTTTTCTAATAATAATCTATCTGCTATACTATTCCTTCGATATGGAGCAAATAATATACTGATGTCTGAATTGAAAACGATTGGTTTATAAATATTTTTTTAAAATTTTTAGAGATGTCGTGAATGGTCGAACAAGAAGCGTAACGTCTACCTACTTAATTCCTAATGAGACTTGTCGAAATTTGTCTACAAAAACATATACAGCATTGCATTACGATTTCACACTCCTACAATTTCCACACAGCATTTTTAAAAATGTTTGAAATGATAAGACTCTTTCTAATTTTATTGCATTTGAATGGTTCGTTTCATATGAGATATGGTATATCTAAGCGCTGCGTTCAAAAACTTTATTACTATTAACGTGTTTTAGATGCGCTTTGATCCTCAACTCTTCTACTTCATCAAAGATTAAGATTTCTAGAATTTTTGAATTCATTTCTGAAATTCTGTACATCTTTTTAAATTTAAAATGTGTTTCAATATATACATGATCGTCAATCTTAATTCTTATATTCTTTCCCTCTTTATGCCTAGCAAAAAGAGTTTCTAAGTTTGTTCACTAATAATCCCGGTTATTGAATCGGTACTGCGGAAGAATTCCAAGGACAAGTATAACTTTCATGAATTTACACTAAAGTTTGAATTAATACTAATGTTTCTTTCGCTTGGTTTTTTTTAGGAACGCGACATAATATTGATCTCAACAATGCAGATCAAGCAAGGAGGTTATACCTAACGATTTGCGCCATGCATTAGGTTTCATCGAAAACGAGAAACGGGTTAACGCAGCGATAACTCGACCTCGTTACCTTCTATATATATACGGCAACCCCGATCTAATCCTTTTGGATCCTCATTGGCGCATGTTTATCAAGTACTGCGTCGACAACGATGCCTACCTTGGTTATGATTTGCCGGAAATTGTCTGACTTGAATTACCTTTAATGATTTATTTTCTTTAAGAACTTCCAATTATCAATACTGTTATTATTAAACCACAACTCTTCGTGCCGAACTAAATTGTTTATATTGTCTTTCTATATTTATATTATTATAAAATTCTCACCGTTTTTAATTCAATGCTGCCTTTGTTAGATGTTTTACATTTTACTTTGTTAGTGAAGTAACAAAATCACAATTCACAAATAATATTTTATAGTATTAATATAAATTTTTGATTATTTTTGCTTTAATTTGATCTAATTAGCAGATTCACAAAAATTCATTTTGTTAATGTTCCAGCAGCGCTTGCGAATTAGATAGAAAACCGTTATCGGCTATTTCCTTTACACCAAAAGTAAACAAAAAGAATAAGAATGTGCACAGAGTTGCTTGCAATTAATTAATTATTTTAAATATAAATATATAATATAACCATCGTCTAGTTGGAGCTTATAGCAACAAATACTTTTTCACACTGACATTTCCTGTTGCTGTATATTAATTTATATAATTTATATTTAAATATAAATAAAATAAATAGCTTTATTTATATAATAGCTTTATTATACATTTAAAATACTTTATTAATTTATATAAAAATATATTTATATATATATAAAAGAAATTGTTATTCTTTTTAATGGTTTTAATGGTTTCCTGGTTGTTTCCGATCCTTCCTCCTTGACTTAGTCGCTTTTGCTCTTCTATCATATCCTCTAGATGTTTAGATTGTTTAATTTTACAAGTTATCCGCCTGAGTGGCAAGAGTATCGACTTTTAACTCAATGTCGTGCCAGTGCATGCATAATACCTATGGAGAGAGGTGAGTTAAAATGTATAACTAGTACACATATATTCGTACAATGTTTGCTGACTAGCCCTTCAGAGACTTTAAATGATCGTAATCCTATTTTCTTAGTCATAGATTCTCAATGTCATGCATGCTTGAAAGTGTGAAGATTTTTACCTAAGTGAATGTGTCAAAGGTTAATATCGAACATTTAAAATTTCTTGTATTTAACAAGTTAGCTTAGAATTAAACCGTCATAATTTTTAAACAACGCCCTCGCTAAATTCCCTGTTGAAAGGCAAAGCACAGAGTCGCTTATAATATATATAAATGGTTAAAAGCCCAACTTAACAATTAACAACTTAAATGTTAACGCCAATCAGCTATGTTAAACGAGCAACTTAACAGACCAGAAGGGTCCAACTCTGTAAAATAAGGGACCAAATTAACAAAAGCCGTCGGCAAAACAACAACTTAACATTATCTAACGGACCAAATTAACAAAAGCCGTCGGCAAATCTTTCTAGTAGTTGCTGGCTTTTCGCATTATATTTTCCACATTTCAGTTGGATTATGACGATTATATGGATACATGGGTGGAATTTACCGAATTATGTATAGAGTGAACACTTAATGTGTTTTTTTCGCAAATTAGTTTGGTTTTTCAAAGTATAATTTATTTTTTATCTTAAGTGCAGTAGAGTTTTTTTTGATGCTAGCGCTTTAAGAGAAACGAATTTCCCTGTTAAAAGGCAAAGCACAGAGTCGCTTATAATGAATAAAAAAATTGCCAAAATGGTTGAATACCCAACTAACAATTTAAATGGCCAGATCGTTTAATTTCCAAAGCCGCCAGCATTTTAAATGGAATAATCTGTTAAATTGCAGCTCTTTAAACGGAACAATCTGTTAAGGCAGCTTTTTAAATGGAATAATCTGTTAAATAATGCATATTACCGCCGGCATTTACGAGTTGCTGTTGAGTGACTTTTATGAATTTCATATCCTTATAGATGATTTGTAAAGAAATGCAAGTACCTGGCCACGTATTAATCTATTCTAATGGATTATCAGGAGCATGAATTATTCTTATTCTTGGGAATTGGCGAATCAATGAAAACATAGATTTATTAATTAAAAATAAAGAAACATTAGATACTAATACTGCTATTAACAGAATTGAATATATTTTACACTCTGTCAATGTTGATATAAAATACGCGACTGATAGACGGAACCAAAAATAGTCTATACGTTGCATAAATAAATTCGAATTATCCACCAACAGTGATAAGTGATCTAATTGTACATCCCTTATGTTTCTGTTTTACGTTTTATGTTTTACGATTAAAAAAAAAAAGGGAATTTTGCAAATATTAATAAAAAAAAAATAAATATATAAAGACAACAAAAAACACACGGCACAGAAACAAAATGCATATCTTTACTTTTGAAATGTAAACAATCGCACGTGCATAGCATATGTAAACAAAAATTAGAATTTGCAACAACAACCACACACGGTAAGAGCTTTCCAATATTAAACACTCTGTATTATTTACAACAACAAACACGCAGGGTACGAACTTTACAGCAATATTTGTGCAGCTTTATAGCATTAACTAAACGCGATACTAGCTTTACAACAATAATCAAACGCGATACTAGCTTTGCAACAAAGAACCCATACTGTACCAGCTTTAAACAAAAAACACACTACACTTGCTTTACAAACAAAAGAATACACGATACTAGCTTTACAACACGCAGAAAGCTTAACAAATTTAGCATCTCTGTTTCTTTACGAAAAATTAATTTCTCCAGTGAATTCCAGGCAATTATGTTGTACTCTCAGAGATTTCTGTAATAACATGGGCAGCATTGTGGTTTGGTGGCATTGTGATTGTAAAATTTTATTTTACTCCTGCCTTAAAAAGATAAAAAGTATAGAGAGAGAATCACCACTTTTTAAGAATTGCTTACATGAATAAAATCTAAACATATTTTAGATATTTTAAAGTCAATTTTTTCTCACAAATCAAAGCAAATTTCACTCTTTTATTCTCAAAAAGTCAAAAATGGTTCTCATAAAAGCAAAGCAAAGTCGACTTTACTCTCAGAATAGAATTTTATTCTCAGTCAAAGCTAAAAGGAAAATTTTGCTCTTCGAGGAGATTTTTTTGATTGTTTTACTTGTCACTGAAGTAGAGCTACCACTTTTACGATATAAATCCAAACATTTTCTATTTTTTTTTAGTGTGTGCGTGAATTTCAAGAAAGGCAGAGGTGTTGTTGGTATTTTTTAAAATTATAAAATAAAGTTAAAATATAGTAGATAATGTGTAAAACTTAACTAATTAAAGTGTGAAAGCTCTGAATCGGTGTTGACGAAGTTTTGTTTACGCATTATATTAACAAAAATGAAAATCATTCTTCTCACAGAAAAGAAGCAAAAGAAATTTTTTGTGGAGAAATGAGTTAGTGACGGGTGCGGAAGATTAATTTCTCTCTGCAAAAATGTAAAATGTGTAACAAATAGAAAAGTCAAATAATAAGAGAAGAAACAGATAAATGAATAATAAAATATTGACTAAATTTAAGAAATGTTGTAGAAAGAAAAAATTTCTCGAAAGGGATATAAAAATAAATACGTAAACGTAATAAGTTTGTAAAAAAATCAATACAAAAACAAATGCCAGCAAACATTAAAACTGGTTTTTATTATTTCTCTACCAATCGCTTATCTACTATGACGACGGTGTGTTGATGTATCTGTGTTGCATTATGTGAGGACCGAAATAGAAGACCAGAAGAAAAATTTCGCAAATAAAAATAAATTCTAATTCATTGTGTCAAAAAAGCAATGCAAGAAAAGGTAAACTTGCAATAAAGTGAAATTAAGAAACAGTCGGGAGAAAATTTAAATAAATTATTATTTAATCATAAAAATATTGAATTAAGATTAGCGTGAAGTGTTGTGAAAGTTTGTTTAAGCCGATGCAATAAATAAGTAAACACTAAACTTATGAACAAGATCCTCCTCCAATGTAAATAAAAAATAATAATAATAATAATAATAGTATATAAAAAGCGTATGTGTCTGTTGCGTATTATCGAGTGTACCGAATATCCGTTTATATGCTAGTCAATATATACATATATGTACATGTCAATATATACATTTATATATGCATATATCTATGTACATATATTTAATTTTATTTGCCAAGGTTTTTAAAATTGAAAAAATTTTTCTCCTTTATATTTCTTCGGACCGTTTGGTTGTGTTTGTAGTTTTTCGGTCTATGTATGTTTTTGTTTATGTTTTGTTAAATTTTGGTTGCAACAACAAAAAATCGATTGTGTTGTGGGCCAAAAGAGAATCTGCAAAAGCAAAAAAAAAAAAAAATTGAAAATTTTAAAAAATTTATTATATCTTCGCTCTCTTGCTCTGCTCTCGCAAAGGCTAATGCGTTTTGTTTATGAGTTTTCGTAAAGTAAATGCAAAGCATTCTTATTGGAATCTATTTAGTTCCGTAATGTTTAGTAATTAAAATTAATCATTTGTGTTGTGTTTATTATATGCATATATATAGCCATATGCGTGCATGTGTCCATTTTCGTCTATGTTTTCACCTTATAAATTTAGATAAAAAAAAAACAAAAAAAAAAAAACAAAAATAAGAAAACAAAAACGAAATCAATGCCCCACCTTTGACTTTTCAAATGTTTCGCATTTGTGTGCATGCAGCTTATAAAGAAATCTCCTGGCGTTGTTGCTGTTTTTGTTTTGTGTTAAATCTGTTTGAACTTATTGAAATTGTTATAATTTCATAGATGATATAATAAAACCTTTTTTTCCCATATCCACCACCGACCTATGGGCCTATATGTATTTATTCATTTTGTCAAAATGTTTGCAAGACCTGAGCGAATTCTTCTACGACCCTACAAAGTGCACATTCTCTTGACAAGCACCAAAGTATGAAATTCTGAATCGATTTAAGCACATCTGTCTGTCTGCTTGTGGTAACCAGTTTCCTGGCCTGAACAACATAACAGAGGTATTGACCTTTAAGTTTTCCAAGTGGGTCCACGTACACGCATATTCTGGAAGAGTACCTTTATTTTCAAAAGTAGAACAATTGGGGTTTTCGCTCCGTCACACTCTCCGAACCTTATAGAGTATCGAAACATAACATAAATATATTTTCATTTCTTTCAACATAATTTTCTTACTTGTTTGCATTCGCGATGGATATAATAAGACATTTGCAACTGCATCTTAAAAAGTCAAACCTTGAAGGAGAGGAACTGTGATCAGTTGAAAAAATTTCAATTCATTCCCTAGAGCAAAATCAATTAAGGGACTAGCAGATGAAGGATTTAGAGATCTTTGAGATTAATGTCTCGCCGACGAGTCGAAGTTCTTTGACCTTAAGTCAATCTCCCCCTTTCTAGCCTGTTTTTTCTGTTTGAGAGAGGCTCTTGATAACAAGGCTATCGGAAAGATCAAAACGCCTATTTTTGTTACGGCGGCTTTCGGAAAATAAATATTTCAGATTTAAAATTTTAATTATTAATGTCTTGAAGTAGCCGGTTAAAAATCGTATGAAATGCTGCTCTTGAAACGATGTGAAAACGAGGTGGAAGAATTCCATGCGAAGATATTCTTGTTTAGACGTCTAGACGTCGTCTATCACGAAATTCACTTGCTCGCAGGTTCAAATCTCAAGTGCGATAGAATTTACTTTGGTAGTCGCTGTAGTTAGTACTTAGCTGGTGAAGTTGTAACACGTACCAACTGGGCACATTTCTTACGCTGGCCATATGACCTATGTCTTTCTCTTTCTTGCTTGCTTTCCGACCATCATCGTGTTACGCGGATGGATATCACATCTCCTGCGTGATTGGTCATGTTAAAAAAAAAATGTATTTTTTTTAATTTATGACAAACATGTATACAACTAAGAATGCTATAAATTAATTTCTTCATTCTGAATGTTAGAAAAGGGGTTTGTCGAAGATAAAACCCGGCTCTTGATAACAGGTAAAGGCTTTCCTTCTATTAGTTTGCCTTTAATTATACTCTATCTCACTTGTGCGGGCGTGCGTAATGCAAAGAAATTGAGAAGGACCCAACTTTTATTATACCGATCGATTTAGAATTATTTTCTGAATTGACGTAAGCTTATATTTCCGTCTGTCCGCCCGATGTCTGTTCATGTGTCTTTGTGTTCAAATTATATGTCGCAATGAAACTTTATACACCGGCCTGTTTTGGCCCAAGGATGAACTCTATTCAAAATGTTTTGGATCTGCCCTCCTTTTCGACCATTGACCCATTCAACGCCTTATTTTGATAAGTGATTAGAAGAGAAACTATTGTAAATTTTATAGTTTCGCGACCAAAATTGCTTTGTAATAGTATCGCGGCGTTCTAAATTGCTGCGAAAACCGATCGGATAGGTTGAGACAATTTTTTGCGGCACTTACCATAAAACCCCTCCTACGCATTCTAAATCGTTGTATACCGAAAAGATCTATTTTTTTATATTTTATGATGAAAATTTCTCGCTAGTAAATGAAACATAGGAGGTTCGGATCATATAGATCTCTTTTTCCGACCGCACTCTATATAGGGGCTCTCAGGAAAGCAAATTTTTCTCTGACGACTCTTTCTAATTTGTTGCTTGCTATGACGAAAGCAACTGGAAAATAGTGAAATCTTTGACAAGTGGGTGAAGTTTGCTAGAGCTAGACCACGTTGGTCAATTTCGAATATCTTCCACTTCTAGCGCTTTCATCAGAATTACGCACTTACATAAATATAGTCTCATTAATTAGACGAAGTGGTGCAGGGTGTCTACCGGACCGTCTTATATGTGTTTTTATCTCCTTTAAGTAATAATTTTAATAAATTTCGCTCGAGAATTGATTGATTAGAATTTTAAATAAATTTTCTACACATGTGTTTCACTACAAATTTTGTTTACGTGTAAATACTTAAAAAAAAAAAAAAAAAAAAAAAAAAAGACAAAAAATTGAAGAAAATTATTAAACAATCACCGTACACCATGTAAAATATTAAGGGTGGCTGTTGCAAATGACGAACAGTGCCATCAAACTGCACTGAAAATCAAATCCATGCTATATTTATTTATATGTCTTCGCATATATCGGCTAAGAAAGAGCATGTATGGCTCTGTACGTGTGAGTCTGCGGACAATCTATTATGTAAACTTGTACATACAAAAAACAAAAACAAAAAGAAAAAGAATTAAAAGTTATTTGTTATTTGCTTAAGTAACATTTGTTTTCTACTCATTTAATAATGAAAAAAAAAAAAAAAAGAAAAGAAAAACGTTTGCATAACTTTGTGCAATGAATATCTTATCGCTTAGCTAACCAGAAGTGTATTTATCACATTGGGTTTTTTGAAAGCGCAATATATTGAATTCAATGTCCGTATGTCCGCTTGGACTTGACGGTACCGAAAAGTGGTGAATGTTTGCTACATTTCTTTTTAAATTCCTGCAAGCGGATGGAAGCTACGAACAGGAGCAGGATACGTGCGTATAAACAGTTTCTTTACAACCTACATCACTTGTTGTGATGCACGTTTGTGCGGATGCATTCAGAATGACTTGTGGTAGCCTCACCTCTTGTGATACCAATGCATTAAGAATTACTTTCTAAATGCATTTGAGATTGTCTATCCGTCTATCTGTCTTGTTTTCTTGCTTTTCTTCTTAACCAACCTGCAGACCTGCAATTTTTGAGATATTGAAAATGGTTCGGATCGGGTCAATTTTTCGACTACTTACTTCCCATATAACGTCTTATTTTAAGAAGTCGTTTCATGAATGACAGCGGGATGGTATTGGATGTTTGATGGTGATCCGTGCCTCGTTATATATATGATTTTGGTACGCAAAGATTTAAACCGTTTGAACTGAATTTTCAAATTTTCACTACTAGTTCTGGTGCGCGCATGCATGTATGAGCCATTTAAAGAATGAAGATCCACTCGCTCGACACACAATGTTTAAAAAATGTTAAAATTTTTTTTAATTAATTTTATTTTTTGTGAAAAATAACATTTGTTTCTTTTGCTATAGATTAAATACGGATGGTTTGGTGGTTAGACACTTTTTGCTTTTAGTTTCGATAATATGAGAAGAAATAAGTAAGGCGTAACCATCGACTGTGCAACTCACAACGAATACTACTTTCACTTACTACTATATGCAGTTTGTGTGTAAATGTAGAGACGAACTCTTAATTTAATTAGATGAGATTTAAAATTCAGAAGAATGACACAGAACAAAAGGAGATAATTAGCTCAAGTTTGCTTTAAGCATATATGTAGGCTATAAGGGCCGTCTAATTGTGACTTCAAATGGTAATAGACGGACAGACACATATGATCAAATCGATTCCACTGTTTACGCTGATCGCGAGTCGATGGCTATTTCTATGCCTGCAATGTAATTGAAAGATCTCAAGTTTGCTCTCTCTCTCTCTCTCTCTCTCTCTCTCTCTCTCTCTCAAAAGAATTTGACACCGGTTTTGTTGCTTTTTCGGACAGACAAACAGCAAGAATTAACTGAATTTCATTATTCAGATTGATGAAAGATATGTGCGCAGTACTTGATAATGTCGCCGACGCGTATTCCTTTACGCTATTCCTAAATATTACGTTGAAAGAAATTGTGTTCAAAAACATCAAATTGCTTTTGTAAGGCGGCGAATTTGCTTATTGTCAAAACATCTCTCTATTTTGCGAATCTCGTTAAGAGAGGTTTCCACGTTCAGGTGCATAAGAAGGAAAAAAAATTATTGAGAGCAAGGCGGAAGTTTGGAAGTATAAGATCGTCATCCGTAATAAAAATTCTAGTATTTTTTATTCGCTTCGGTGGATTACTCATGTAATCGGTGTGTTAAAGTACAATCCCTTATAATTTTCTCATAACTATATTAAAATGAAGCAACCATCGAAATTTAATTGTTTTAATTTTCATTTCTTTATATGATTTTTCAAAGAATTTTAAATAGAATTGTTATTAAATATACAAAATAGAAAAATACAAAGTTAAAGAAACGAATCGCGGAATAACAAAATTAGTTTTTAATTAAAATAAAAAAAACAAAAAAAAAGGAAAGGAAAGAAAAAAAAAGAATTCATTGCGCGAATAAACGCATTATGTCGAGAGCTTCGTCCATAGAAACGCCAACTTCTCCGACGGGTCCATTACATTTTCAACAACCTCAGCAGCATTATCGCCAACGTAGCGTATTACAACAGCAACAGCAACAGCGTCATCATCCTCAACAGCAGCAGCAACAACAACAACAACAACAGCCACAACATACTACTACGGCTGTTGTTATTAGTGCCAGCTCTTATAATAATCCTTACACACAAACAACAACAATAACCGCAAATACTACCAGTCCAAAAACTGAAAGCAATCGGCAAAATAAACGTAATCATAACTCTTCCTTTTCCACCACATCCACATCGCCCATATCACCTATATTATCGAAGGCTTCCTTTAATCCATTAACCGACAATATGATATCGAATGCTAATAATCATAATTCACATCATACAACTATTACTACTTCAATTAATCAATCTAACCATCAATCTACACATTCTTTATTAACTCCTTCCTCTTCCACATCCTCATCTCCATCGGTTTCGGGTGCAGCATCCACAGCTGCAGCGGTACATCAGCCTCTTAATTCTTTTGGTAATTCATATCCAGCACACCATCAACAACACAATTCGTCTTCATCATCTTCATCGTCGTCGTCATCGGCCTTGTATTCTCATCAACATCAACATCAACAGCAACAACATCAACAACAACAACAACAACAGCAACAACAACAACAGCAGCAGCAGCAGCAGCAACAACAACAACAACAACAATTTACAAGGCCATCGACATCAATGTCGACTGGTTGCAATGCGCCCGCTGCCGTCACCTCATCGCATTCTCAGCATAGCTCCTGTACACCATGCAGCATTAAACGTCATACCGATGTATCGGTATGCCCTTCATCGTCCTCGTCTTGCTGCTCTTCGGCTAGCTCGCAATCTGTTTCGGCGTCTGTTACAGCAAATCATCATCATCACCATCACCATGGCGTTGGAGGCCAAGGCAATGCTAATGCCAATATTGTAACTCCGGCCGTGATTACACAAAAATCGCGTACCACACCCTCAGATAAGGTAAGTGCAGCAGTCTATGAGGATTAAAAACCTTTCACAAATAAATGCTTATCTTCCTTCTCTTTAATATTAAATATTCATGTGTGTAACATTACTTTAGGCGCTGTTCGTTCTCTTTTCTGGGGCAGTTTTTTTTTTTTTTTTTTAATTTTCAGTTTTATATGGGTTGGCTGCTGATGACGAATAACAAACATGCGTTCGCACAAGTCCTTGCAATGATTTTTATTGATTTTTTTTTTTTTTTGTCTTTTTCTTGTTTTCAAAATGAAAACATGGAAACTATTGCGCTATTAACATAGTAAACTGCAAGGCATATGTTTTTGTATAGTGCAAGCGCAGTCATTGCATACATTTGGGTAAGCAATCCGTTGTAGCTTAAGTATATCGTTGTCTGCTTTGTTGAGTACAGTATAAAATAATGCTAAGATTGCGCTGGCTTTCATTAAAACGGGGGATGTCCTTCAAAATGACAATTTTTGGCACATGAACAACATTCCAATTTTATTGCACTCTATTATTGTTATTATTATTATTATTATTTTTTTTTATGCTATACTTATGCAAATGCGTCATAGAACATGTTACTTTTAAAAAATAAATGTAATTAATGTTGTGGTAGCGTAAGTAATTTGAGTTAACTTACTTAATTAATTTATTTTATAAATTTAATTTGTTTTTTTGTAGCATATTTTATGGCTTCATTAAAAAGTGCAAATTGACATCTACTTTTTAGGGATTTCTTATATAAGATTCTCAAGGTCTCTTATGACCTTCAATTACACATACAAATGGCCTTAAATCGAAAGAAAAACAAAAAAAAAAAGGCCAACGTATGTACGTAAGGTCAAGAATTTGTTTGCTTTTTTTTACTTTTTTTTTTTTTTACAAGCTAAATAACTAGTTACTAAAGAAAATATCCGCCGCTTTAAGCCTAGACTTGACAGAATCATTATCAACATTATAATAATGCCATGAAATAGCCAATGATTGCATTTTTATTTATTTACTCGTGCTCTTTTCGAACTGTAAATGAAGTTTAGAGTGAAATTCATGAATCGAAGAACAGACAAAGTGACAACAATTACAACAACGTTGTTATTATCATAACACTCAACGTTTTGTGTAAGGAAAGGACATCAAACAAAGAGGTCAGTCAAGCAGATAAGAGACATAAAAAAGAGAAAAGTCAGCCGATGTCTGGCGCTAAGTTGATCATTAGATGTGTCTGTAGACCGTTTGATAAGCACACAAAAGTTTTTTTTCCATTTCATGGCAACAATAAAAAAATGATGTTTTTTTTTTCGCTAAGGTAACTAAAGGCTTTTTGTAAACCCATAAAGGACATTAGTGGTGCTGCTCTTTTCTTTTAGAATTAAAAAAACATTTTTATTAGAAAATTTTGATTATGTATCGCTGTTGGTTTTCCTTGCTTTTTTTATTTTATTTGTATTTATTTATATTTTAATTAAAAGTTCACAAGTGAAAAGTTTACAAATTGATAATAACTTTGAAATGTATTTAACAAGTTTACAAAAGTTTAAAAAGCGCTTAGTAATTTTCTTTTCCTTTTGTAAGCGCTTGATGGAAGTCATTAAAAAAAAAGGTATATTTCAAGGTGTTAAGAATATGCCAAAACAATTGCATACTTTTCGCCTTATTTTGCCCAGTAAGCGAGTATCGCCTTGTAATTTTTATTAGTGTTAAAGTAGTGTATATTGAATTTCCTTTAGCTAAAATTTGAAATGTCGCTTTATGGACTTGTATGTAAAATCATAAAACTATTATGAAAAATTTTGTTCAGAAATGTCTTCTTCTTTTTTTTTTCTTTGACTATTGTGAGTTTGTGTTCTCGATAGTCTCTTATCATTTTCCTATTTTCCTCCTAGCCTTTGAAAATAGCTCGATGAAAATGGTAGTTTGATGATATCGCTACGCAAGCCTTAAAATTGCTTACTTAAGCGCTACCATCTCTTCTGGCGAATCTTTAAAGGTATATGACACATTTGCTGATAACAAGCCGTTTAGATAGTTGGGCGTCAAACTACTATAATTCCCGGCATTGCGGATGCCGGTCGGTGACAACTGTTCGAAACTTTTCCAATGCGCACGTCATGACGATGCTCCATTATTGTACCCTAAGGTTTTCTACAAACTCTGCAGCAAGTCTTCTCGTTACTTCTCCTTCACCTTTTTCACAAAATAGAATTCTTCATAATCGTAACCGCTCCAGAACAGGCTTGACTTAGTTGCTCAGCAGTAGGAATTGTCACCGAGGAATCTAAAAAAAACACGGTTTTCTTTTTTGGCTTATCTGGGAGCCATACGTTACGCTTTCTATTACGGGAAAGCTTTCCCAAAACATTTGTGACTATGCAGTCAACAGATACTTGTGTACTTCTGGGTATGATTTTGGTACTGTTCATTTGCCCGTTTCGCTCGACTTTTATTATGTTATCTCTTGTACCATCATCAAATCGTAAAAAATGATAGCTCAAGGCAAAATATTGTGCGGCTTCTCGTAGTAGGACATTTCTTCGATAAATAGGACTCGTTTGATCTGCTCCGACCCTCAGGTCCGCACGCTTTTCATATATCAATAAAATTTCGTGCCAGGCGAAGGCCTTGAGAATTTTTTCATGGAATGTTTGATAGGCATAACATTGGTATCTTACCCGTTCCTCCCTATATTTTTCTAAATTCAATGCTTGCTTACACAAGATGATAGCACAACCATTGAGATCATTGTAGTCATTTGCCACAGTGTTTACATTCACTTCGAGTTCGTGCATAGGATGAGTTTAAGCAAATCTTATTGAAGAGTTCAAGGATATCTTATACGAATTGTGTCAACTTTTATTTATAATAAAACGGAGTCGAATGAGGAAAGGCGGCACTCAGTCGTGTTACAAATTCACTTTGTGCACGATGTCTTCATTAAATTACAAGCGAACGTCAAAATTAAGTTGATTTGCACAGTGCTGTACAGCGTTATATTAAATTGTTTTCACAGCTTAAAATGTCTTTGGATGTTTTTTCTTTCATGAAAAGAAAAAAAATTCTTTTTTTCCAAAATTAAATATATTCAACTACATGTAAAAACGTTTTAAAACTTTGTTTATTTAAGTTTCGTTTCTCTTTTGGCTTTTTTTATTTTTTTGTATTTTTTTCTCGTTTTAATGGTATTCGGTAACCTCTGGCTGCTTTATATCATTTTAATCACTATCAGGCTTCATCAGCTTACTGCATGCGGTTTACTGTTGGGTATCAAGGAAGTTAGTAATTTCCTTAACTTGTTCTTTTTTTTTTCAAGTTTTTATTCTTTTTTGTCATTCTTCAGTGTTAGCTTTTTCCGTATATTCGCTTCCAGTCTTCTGTGACAACGTCAAAAAAAAAAGAAAAAAGTGGCAGAGGAAAAGTTCAACTTTTTTTCAGCCTTTGCACGTAGCAGTTGCAGCAGTAGTAGTAGTAGTAGTAGTAGCAATAGAAGCAGCAACAAACATAAGCATATGAAATAACAAACAGACGTTATAAGCTGGCGATAAGCTGCTAGTCACTATACTAAGGATTATAGAGAATTTTCTAGATATTTGTTAAACGTTCGATTGTCGGAAGTCATGCCATGCCGTACACTTCTTATCTCTGTTTGCTTGCATAATATACGCCGTCTCTGAGTTTATGTAATTATCAAGAATTAAAATGATCTCATGCGGAGCACCTTACACCACACCATTTAAGCAATATGAGCCCGTGAATCGAATTATTCTCTCATATTAAACCATAAGTCGTAAAATATCTTTCAGCTCACAACTAACTCTTTATCAAATGATATGGAGATACTAAAAACAGTTAGTTCTGTTACTAACGCGTACACTTGGCCTAGTCAGTCCTGCCTTATCCGGCGATCTGTTGCCTATTAGACGGAAAGAAAATTATGCTCGTTGCCTCAAGTTCAAGTTTCGCGTATTCATAAACTGAGTTAAAACGTTCTAGTTGAGCAAGGCGGATTATTAAATACTTACTGCAATTTTTTTCCGCTTATCAGAAATTATTTCTCATTACCATATGAAGGCCTACATTTTACGAGAACCCATATCCATGAACGTTCTATGATTTGCGAATGTCTCAATTGACCGATCGAGTGCACAAAAATATTTATGAAAATTTTTTGTTTTATGCTCACTCGTTTTGTTATGCGTTTTCCCGGAAGCCCGATTCTCTCATTAGAGATATGAAAATTGAAAAAGAACATGTTTTCCTGGAACCTGTACATCGAAATGGATGAGTGAGCAAGAAATTTCGACAGTCAACTCAATGCTGTCGAGTTTTCTATAAAGCCGTTAGCCTTAGAAGGTTATTTCTCTGGCCAAGTTAGTTACAATAACAACAATAATAATAACAACAGATATTTAATATCCGCTGATTGAAATTTCAGTGCGAGAGAGCATATTTAGTCGTCAGCTATAGCAAGTGGTCAGTCCGTAAAGGCGTAAGATTTCCCGGTTTGGGCACACATCCACTAGGTCATTACGGTCATTCTCTATCTCTTTCTTTCTTTACGTCTTCCTGATCGCATTCTATCGATCGTATTTTATTTGCGGACGTTCCCTGAGTAGAATTGGATACGAACTCAATTGCGAAAGTTCGAAATTTTGAAAAAAATCTCTTTCTTACGGAAACCCACTTTAAAAAAAAAAAAAAAAAAAAACGAATTTATCTAAGATGCATATACATGTGTTATGGTGGAGTCTGTTCCACATATGGTAAAATTTTCTCTTCTAAAAAAGTTTTAATAAATTTTTAAAGCTTTCTATGGTCTGATGAAAAATATATGTATATACTACGACAAGTAAGCCTTTGTTGCTTGATAAAGCTGAGAAGAAATTATCTTAAATCGATTTCCATGAGTTGCTTGTTTTCACAAATATTACGTGAAAGGCGTGCACGCATACGAATTATCATTGTGCACACGTTATGCGTTCAACATGTCATCATTTGTTTTT